GTATATACAGAATGGAATTCACTATAATGAAGTGCTATGTGCCTTTTATTCTGTGATCTGTAGAAAATCTAATGGACACCTGAGCAAACTAACTTTTAAAACTGTTGTCTTGCACACACAGAGACACACAAAATGTATTATTTAGAGCAGTTCTTGGTTTGCAGTATAGACACAAATACAGATTTCCAGTACGGCCCCTGCCCCCACGTATACACGTGACACCTCTCCACTGTCAGCATACACTACCAAAACAGTACATTTGTTGGATCAACAAAACTACGTTGACACATCATTACCTCCTAAAGTCCATGGTTTAAATAGACTTCACTCTGTGTTAAATATTTTATAGATATTCAAAATGTAAAATGACATGTATCCACCATTAAAATATCACACAAAATATTTTCATTGCCTTAAATATTCTCTACCTATTCATCTCACTCTCCCCATAAGCTCTTGGCAACCACTGATGTTTTACTGTCTCCATAGTTTTGCCTTTTCCAAAATGTCGTATTGTGGGAATAATACAGTAGGCAACATTTTCAGATTGGCTTCTGTTTAGTCAGTAATCTGGCTTTTTATTTCAGCCAGACCCATATGGCAGAAGTTCATTAGCACATCAAGTAATAGTCAATTACTTAACTCACACTCCTTTGTCTACGGATGGAGAATTGTTAGGCCCGTGCCATATAATTTTCTGGGTTACCTACCAAACAAAGCAGAGATGTAGGGCTAATTCTACATTCTCCAGAGCCAACAGCTGGAGCAAGTTGTAATCTGAGGGCTCCTCCTTCTGCATGGATGAGCTTGTGGATGCTGTTTCTTCTTCCTAAAGCTGTGCATTTCCATTACACTGCCATCATATGTGAACATGCAAACATTCCGAGTTGGTAATACCAGTTGCCTATGTTGTATTACAGCTGAAGATGCAAAAAATATTTTATCTGCTTTAGACAAAAGCTCTGCCCAGGATGCGTGTTCAAGTAATCTAGATTAAGGAAAGCTACTCAATTTAAATAATTTGACTCAAATTTACAAAATAAAACTAATTCACAATTTGTGCTTTTCCTCTCCTCTTGAAGGACCTATGGATGAACTGTTGGACATGCAACCTGAGGAAGGTGGTAAGATTTATGCATTTCTTTAAGGTTATATTTTAATTTTGCTTTCCTTTTTGAACAAAAGAAAATGTAATCTTTATCTTTTCAATAGCTTTGCAGTACTGCACTAAGTAAATTTGGGGAGCGGGTTGACAGTCTTTATAAATGACCTTGCCTATGCCTAATTGTGGATCTGACATTGTTACTATATTTAATTTTATAATTTCAACTACTAAAGCTGAAAGTTATACAGAAGTCATATGCAGTAGTAGAAAAATGCCTTTCAGAATGAGACAAGGGCAGATTTGAATATTGCTTCCACCATGAACGGCCGATATCACCTTCACTAGTTTGCTTGATAGTTGAACTCCCTAAGCTTCAGGTCTTCTCCTTTGTAAAATGAAACCTCCTTTGGGTATTTTCAGGATTAGAGACTGAATGTGTGAAGGACGCGGTGTGGTGTCTCACACGGGGTACTCTTGAAGTACTAACCAGTTGAGACCGCATGGCTAGAATGTTGTCTAGATGTTTTATTTTGCTACACGCCCACTAAACCCTAGTGCAGGGTGTGTGTTTGCCTAGCCAAGTCCAACACTCGAGTTTACCAGACCTGAAATCCCATACTGACTCCTGAAAGAGAGCCCAGAAACGTGGATTGGGTAAGATATGGATAGTGTTAAGGGACACCAAGAAACTTATCATCGCTTCTGTTCTGCACAAGGTTTCTTTTAATGATTTACTGAAGTCCATGTTGAACCGAACATCAGAACGTCCCTTCCCTGGTGACTGACACAGTCTGCTCTGGTTACACAGGGTTCCTACTGGACAGAAATAGGTCAGGCCATCCTGTCAGCCTTGGTTCATCAGGGCAGATGAGTCAAGTCAGGCTAAGCTTGATGGGGATTTGACTCACAGAATGTGAAAGGAAGTAGGACTATGGAAAAGAGGACATTGATTAAAAGTTTTTCAGAAGTGGGAAGTCACCACACTCTGATGTTGTTTCCAGGGTTTAGGAATATAAATTTGAGAGCAAGAATCTGCTCTCCGTATCAGTGTCTTAGTGGAAGTCACAGACCAGGATATTTCATGAATGTCCGTGCAACTTTCATCAAAATGACCAGTCATTTGTAGTCATACAAATCATACCAGTAATAAAATTAATAAGTAAGCAGCCAATGCAGATTGCCACACATGCCCTCCATTTTTTTTTAAATTCCCCCTAGTTTAAAAATAGATTGTTTTGATGTAATAAAGGTATCCTTTACAGCTTACCTTTTTTGGAGCGGGGAAACACTTTATATCTACAAAAGTGACATAAAGAGAACAATACAATAAGCCCTAGGTGCCTACCACCCATTTTCAGTAAGTCTTAACATTTCACAAACGTATTTATCATAGTATATGTGATTCAGCTTAATCCCAGTTTTTCTGTGATATAAATGCAGTCCTTTACACTGATCTACATCCCAGATCATTTTTATTATTGAGATAGGGAATTGCTGTGCTCAGGCTGCTTCAAACTTGCTATCCTCCTGCCTCAGCCTGCTTGAGTGCTGAGATTGCAGGCCAACGCTGTCAAGCCCAGCTCCAATATGTTCTTTTTTTTGGCGGAGCTGGGGTTGGAGGTGTTGGGGAGACAGAGTCTTGCTGCATATTCTAGGCTGGCCTTAAGCTTGCTGAGTAGCCCAGGCTGGCCTCAAATTCAGGTGATCCTCTTGCCTCATCCTCCCGAGTGCTGGTATTAGAGGTATCTATCTCCCATGCCCAGCTTCTAATATCTTCTTTATGTGATTTGTCTCTGGCTTTTATTATCACCCTATTAAATTTTATTATTTTAATAGATTTAATTTTTAATTAGACTATTCCCCAAAAAGTACCAAAAAAGCCATAATACTATATAGTAAAAATATTATGAAAAAGCCTTACTCCCATCTCCCAGTTATCCTTCCACTGTTTCTGTGCTTTGACAAAGCAGAGATCTGTCTGTCTGTCTATCTATTTATCTATCTATCTATCTATCTCTTCTGTTTCCCTTTCTTACCAAAACAAAAACAACACCCCCCCCACACACAGAGCAGTTCTTGGTTGGATTTGGATTTTTTTTTAACTTGGTAGTAATGGTACAACAGGAACCCAGTAGCTAGCATTCTTCACAAAATTAAATTAGAAATTCCCTTGCCTGAGATGTACGCTCCATTTCATAAGCTTCTTTACTAGTTTAAAACAACTTTCGTACCTTGTGGGGTGGGTGCATATGTGTAGTTGGCTTTGCTAGTTAGTTAACAACTTGAATCCCCGGAAGGCCACCCGTTTAACTCTGAATGGGCTCTTCCCTGACGTGTCCGAGTTCTCGGGCAGAAAGATGATTTACAGATTTTCTCCCTTAAATGCACTGTCGCATCATTCCTGCTTGCTCGTTATCACTGCCAACCCTTGAAGCCCTTCTTGAGGCTCCAGCATTGCTTCCCTGCTGTCTGCCTCTTCTGTATCGCCCACCCTCAGGGCGGCATCAGCTTAAATACTACCATGGCCACTTCTACGAACAGATCTTCTCAGTGCACGCAGGACTGGCGGTGACTGATGAGAAGGATGCTCATTATTGTGTGGACTTCAAAATGTGGCCTTTTCGAAAACTGCTGGAAGGCCCAGATCCTGAATTAAAATGCTGGTTATAATATGGAAAACATTAAGTAGTCAAGAATTACAAAGAGCTTAATCCAGGGATGGCTGACTTTATAGGACAAGGGCCCATAAGCTCTTGCACCCTGCTGTGTGGGAGTTGGTTCCTCCCCCAGTGCTGATTCCATCGGACAGTACAATGCTACCAAAAGGCAGACCGCCTGTGACAGTCCTGAAAATTCTCAAAGAGCCATGGCCCACCGAATCACTCAGACTCAGTGTTGTAATAAAATTTGCATTTTCCTACTAAATGATAATATAATGGAAAATTAACATTTTTGCCACAGTTTATAAAAATGTTCTAAGTGGAAAGAAACTTAGTGACATTATGAGCTCTTTGACAGTGGCTCTGAAATTGCTTTTGACCATGTGTGACAATCTAACTTTATTGCATGAGTTATAACCTGTGGAAGCCTTTACGTTTCTCAAAGTTGGACCAAGAAAAACAACTAGCTTGTAACTGAACAAAAAGTGATGATATAAAAGCAGATGAGAATTTGGTTCACCTAAAATATTATCCCTTTGCCTCATCCAGAAGACCCAGAGTCAAGATTGCCTGAGCCAATTTAAAAACTTGTTTGTCTATATTACAATAAGATATTTATCTTTGTTATTTTCTTGATTATTACTCGTGATTCTCAATTCTAACCACATGTTGGTAGCTCATTCAGTAGCTACCAGAGGCCCAGGTGAGAAGCTGTGGGCCGTGGCAATCATACCTGTTTATCCCTCAGTGTGTTGTTTCCTCTGAAGCATCCAGAACTGCTTCCTGCAGGCATTGTGTGTTTGCATTGAGATCTGATTGCTTTGTGACATGCGGTGTAGCAGCCTCATTATCATTTCTCACAAGCTTTTTCTCCTTCCTGCCTCCCTCAGTATTCTGCATTGTGCTACTGGCTTTGGTCCTTTCGTGGAATGATGATAGGCTTTTTTTTGGTGGTGCTGGACATTTAACCCATGGCCTTGTGCATGCTCATTGGCTCTCTGCCATTGAGCTATAATTCCAGCCCAATAATCATATACTTTTACAGTCAAGGACTGCTCTTAATCACCGTCTACTCAAAAGTATTCTTTGTAGATTATCCTTGTAAAGACTTTCCTCAGCCCCATGCTTCGTGTCTTTCAGTAAGTTTCCTTGGATGCTAAGATCTAATACTAAAAATGGAAGAGCAGACTTGCGAATCATCAATTCTGTAAGCTGTTTGTTTGCTTGTCTTTAGGGTCCACTCAGGTCTAGCATGCCTGGATTGTTGTTAGGGGTGGATCTCCCTCAGCCCCATCTGTTCTTATTATAATCTGTGTCCTGTTGTTGTTGTTGTTGGTGGTGGTGGTGGTGGTGATGGTAATGGTGTTTTTTTGTTTTGTTTTGTTTTGTTTTTTTCTTTTTAACCAGAAAGGACTTTTCATAAGCAAATAGCATTCTTGAATTCCAAACAAGTATAATTTGTTACCAGAGCCCTGTATAATGAAGAATATTTGTCTGGTTAGACACTTTAGGAAGGTGGTTTTCTACCCATCTTCCCCGTACTCTGTTTTGGTTGATGTGAGGATAGTGTTGGTGTTTGGGGTTTTCATCTGCACTGCAGATGTGTGGCCTTTAAGATTAGTCATCATGAGGAAGGCAGAGGCCAGGAAGAAACCCAGAGCAGGAGTCTTCCTGTTTCACACACAGATGAGGGTAAATGAAGTGACATTTATCTGTTTTCCTGTGCTCTCATTTTCAGTCTATGTAGTTATGTTTCCATCTTCTGTGTCCCTAACTTATGCTGAGGTCATGAAACACAGGATGATTTTAAAAATACTACCCAAACGAGTGTCTTGAGTTTTCCGTAATCTGTCTGAACTCGCAGGTTTCCTCTGCATTTGAGTTTTCACAAGCTAGAGATCATTGGTTCAGGAATGTATTCCCAAGGGTGTGGGGTTCTTATTTTTGGAATTCATGCAGTGCAGGGTAAGCAAGCCCTGTGGATCTGCCATCTGCCCATTCTCCATGGGCCTTCATGAGGCCTGGCTGGAGGCATATCCCTCTGACCTTACCGTTCCTCAACATTTAAGTTTTTATGTGAAATCCTATGTTCTATATAAAAGCAGGGTTCCACACTGAGGCAGCACCTTGACGTGTGAGTCAGGGGTCCCCAGCCAGTATCTGTAATAAATAAATAAATTTTATATCCTTTATATGAGTAGGTCATCCACCCTGGGTGTCCTTTTCCTTATCTGTAAAACGAGTTAGAGGAAATGGTCTCCAAGATCATTTGGTTTTGTTGCAGAAGAAAAATGGTATGTTATTCCTCTGAGAAGAAAGAGCAGATTCCCAGGCAGGAAGTCAGGAAAGCATCCTGAGCAGTGGCAGGCTCGGGACCCTGGCAGACTTGTGGGCTTCCCGAGGTGTGGCTAAGTGGTCGGAGGGCTGCAGTAAAGCTTGACTGGGGACATCCTTGATGCCACTATGCTGAGTGGCAGAGAAGAGCCACTGAGGGTTTTTGAGTGAGTGGGTGGTCTGACAACTGGACTGAACAGAGTCACACAGGAGAGGAGGCTGCCTCGTGGAGGGACAGCAGCCTTGCCAAGGCCACACTGGGTAGAAATTTATGGTCAGAGTTCAAGAAAGAACTTGGAACCAGGGAGGGAGATTTGGGATCTCTCAAGGTGATATTGGAAGCATAGGAACAGATAAGGTCTTTGATAGAAATTGAAGATAGGTTTGATGGTTTAGGATTGAGAACATATGTCAAAGAGATGGGACACCTTGAAGAGAATCACCTCGTGGCGACTCTCAGAAGATGCCAGCACTTCCAGGGCAAGGCCACAGCGCAGAGCGCTCTGGAGGCTGAGGCCAGGGCAGAGGGAGTTGGAATTGGCCTTTAGGGTCTCACCTGTAAGAAGCCACTGCAGTGTAACATGGGGTCAGGAACTCAATCCGGGTGGCTTAGAAAAAGGTAGAGACCAAGTAGGAAGACAAAAAAATCAGAACAGTAGTTTGAAGGGTAGAAGGGGTGCAGACAGCAGTGTGAAGACTGATTGCCGTTAGGATACACACGTCCTCTGAGGCCAGAGGAAGAAAGCCTCGAAGAACAGAAGAGTGAAGATGCTGGAGTTGAATGTTGGTGGCCACGGAGGAGGCACCCAGAGCAGGCCACACTCGGGAAGGAAGAGGGAGGGATGCATGAAGGCTTGGGGAGCCCGAGGCAGTGAGGTGAGCACATCACATCTGCTGGTTTTTGTTTTTATAGTAACGTCTATGGTTGGGTTATCTGATATGGAAGTAAATATGGGGGCTCGAGAGCCTGCGGAAAGTGAAGAGGGCTCAGAGTAGCATCTGTGGGATTGGCACCGGGTGCTCCACAACCTTCACTCGCCTTCGAGACAGAAACAGGGTGAGGCACACAAGCCCATAGGCACCCTTGCCTGTCTCCAGGGCAGGGACTCCACTTGTATGGCTCCAACCAGGCTTTCCCTCTAAGAGTATATCATATCTCTGCCCGTGTCTTCATTTGCTCCCAGTTAAGTTGGATGATTTTCAAAGAAAATGATAGCACGATTTGATTCTCAGCAGCTTACTAACTACTATTATTTCTCAAGTCTCAACTTGTCCAGTTACAGACCTAAACCAGTCCATTTCTACTTGTAATTAAGCTTTTCATACAAGTTATGTGGAGTAATTTCAGGCATCTTAATTATTGGTGCAATAGCTGGATGGTTTCCGTGTTTTATGGTTCAAGTCAGTGCCAGTTTCATTGCTTTTAGCTAATAAATTCTCTTAGAAGAGCAGATGTTCACAGTGTAGCCTGCTTTAACTGTTAAACAACCAGGATGCTAAATAATGGCCAAGTTCAACAGTGGTGTGGGCAAAATCTGTATCCAGAACTGGCTCTAGATGCTACTACCATCCTTTCCACTGCCTCTTTTCTCATTTCTGTGACTAGAACATTTGAGTTTGATAAGATAAAGTATTAGGAATGTTTTGGTTTCCAAGAAGCCCCTCTTGGAAAAGGTACCCATGTAACTGAGGACGTACACAGTAGATTGGAGTCAAGAAAAACTGGATCCAGAGACTTAGGTTCTTTTTCCAGCTCTTTCATTTATTTTCCTCTATGTGTGGGCTTTACCATCACTTGTAGCCTCAAGTCTGTGTCTTTGGACCCTGGAATCCCAAAGAAAGACACTCATCTGTCTCATTTCCATCTGTCAGACTCAGCGATGCCTCCAGTGTGTGCCCATCCCTGAGCTGATTACTGTGGACTGGGAAATGGAGACTCTGGCTGCCACAGCCACGCATTGACTTAGGATGGAGGGGCTGAGACTCAGCACCAGAATTACGAGAAGGTGTTCCCCAAAGAGAACTGAAGAAGGGAGAAGAGATGCCAAATCAGCCCAAACCGCTGAAGTCTACTCTATACACCGTAGCATAAAACCTAAGCAGTAAAAACTAAAATAGAACTTTTACAGTCCACAGTTACTTTGGAGGACTCTGAGTTTATTATTTGTTGTTGCTGAAGTTAGCAGTGGTCTTTCCTACACAGACAACTAGACTGCAGCAGTGAAGCTTCCCCCAGGGCTGGACTTGGCACAGGGCTGAATGAAGTGACCAAAAAGGGAAAGCATATGGCTTCCAAAGCCTCTCTGAAGCCATTGCGACTTGAGAGTCTGCATGTTGATTTGAACTGATTCAAATTAAGTGGGTTTGGTTCAGTCCTCACCTGGTTTCAGTCAGGCCAAAAAATAAATCACAAGAAAGTGTTTGGACATTCCAGTAGGCAGCAGAGATTTGCAAAATGAACACACTGTTAAGGGGGTGACACCGAGAGATTGACAGAGATGGTGCATGGCCATGTGTGCTGACAGCCTTGTCCTGACTCGCAGACATGCGCTCTCCCTCTGCTCCTGCCCTCGGTGCTGAGGGCCTTGCTGCTTCTTTGCTACCCTGTCCTACAGCACTGTCTCAGAGCCTACTGAAGATGTCATTTCTCATCTTCCACCCACCACACCTCCAGGCTATATCTCAGAGAAAATGTCTTTGATAATACAAACAATAAAAATGCTTAAATTAGGTAGTTGTCTGATTACAGTGATGTTTTTGCCACTATTTTAAACCACAGAGATGTGAGTGACTAGACTCTCCTGTCCCTGATTTATAGCCAAGTCTGCTCAGCACATCAAAAATCCCCTCAATCTTTAGATCTTTATGTAAAGTGTGGGTGAAAATAGATGCAGTAAAACTGACACACAGAAGGTTCATTTCTTAAAAGGCCCTCATTTACTAATTATATATAGTTGAGGGGAACCTGATAGTCTTACTTAATATGACTATCAGAATTGCAGTGGATGAGAAAAAAGTAAAAATCATGATTTTTTTCTTCACATCAGGACTTAAAACGAAAATGTTTGCAGTTTACAGGTGGCAATTACACACCACAACAAAGCCACGGTCAATAAAACTGACAGTCCTCGGTTCTCAGAATAAGCAGAAAATCCCCTGGGAGGGTTAGCTGCAGGACTCCTGTAACAACATCGCCATTCTGCTTGTGTCCCACAGCCAGCGTGCAGCAGGGCGCCCCTACAAGGAGAGTTTTCTTTTCTAGTCTTCTTCTGTACACCCATGACTTTTAAAATCGTTTTTAGTTGTCTTTCTAACAGCACTCTGAAGTGGCCATCTTTAATAGGGTAACTGATGAGAAAAGAGAGGCTCAGGGGCCTAAGGGTCTTGCTGAAGTCACAAGGCGAGGGAGGGTTGGTTGACCTGGGCCTCCCTAGGTCTAGTGCTCATCTCCATCTTCCAGATCTGTGTCCCTAGCCCGCAACGCACCCCTTCAGGGTCAGCCCTTGATTTGCCCTCCTGCCTAGTTACTCCCTCTCTGCTACCCTCAGGCAAAGCACGCCCACCTTCCTTAGCTCCTGCAGTTGTGCTTCAGCAAAGGAGGGAAGGAGCAATACCGCCTTGCTCTCCCAGACATTGCCAGGCCTCCCAGCTTGCTCCCAGGGCCAGGGCACGGCGAGGTCTCTGCCCAGCCTGGGTGGCCAGACAGGCTGCCACATGGCATCTTGGCTGCTCCAGCCCAGACCCCATGTGGGAAGACTTGGGGAGCTGTACAAAGCAGGAACTAGGTTCTCCAACCTGCTCTGAATCCTGGCTTTGTTTCAGACCTGAGAAATGTTTTGGTAAATTTGCTTTTATGTTAAGGAAAAAGCTGATGCTCAGAAACTGGACTTGCTTTGGGAGGAAGAGGAGTGAGAGAGCACAGTATTAAAAATTCCATTCCAAAATCTGATAAGAAAGGCTATAATAGGGTCCAGGATTTAGCTCAGTGTCACCATGCCTGCCTGGCAAGAAAGAAAAGGAAGGGAAAGGGGGAAGGGAGGGAGGGAGGGAGGGAGGGAAAGGGGGTGAGAAAGGAGAGGAGAGAAAGAGAAAGGCATGGTGTAATAGAATAAACCTTTTCTTAGATTGAACTGCTGCCTAATCTGGCCCAGCCCCCCGAACTTGTCCTCGAAGCCTGAGCCCTAGGAAATAATGTGTCCCGTGCTCTGTTACCCCGTCAGCTGGCCTGGGCCCGATGGCGGAGACCCCAGAACCTGACAGCGCCGACAAGGATGACTTGCTGCTGTTGAGTGAGATCTTCAGTGCTTCCTCCCTGGAAGAGGGGGAGTTCAGCAAAGAGTGGGCAGCTGTGTTTGGAGACAGTCGGCTGAAGGAGCCTACAGCAAGTGGGGCCCTGGGAGAGCCCGATGCCAAGTTCCAGGCAGGCTCCGGATTCCTTCCTTCACAGCTTTTAGACCAAAATATGAAAGACTTACAAACCTCGCTACAAGGTGTGTACCGTAATCAAAATTAGGTTTTGTGCTTATTTTTCTTTTACTCTAAATGCATACTTGTTACTTCATTGTCTTTTTTATGTGTATATGTTTTAGTTTTTTAATTTTATTTTTATTTTAAAGCCAGTATCTTTTCTTTGGGATTTTTCAGGAGGGGAGTGGGTATTTTTATTATACATCCAGTGACTTTTTAGCTGAAATCCCCAAAAATCACATTCCAATTTTAAAATCTGTTGCCGAGTTTAAGATCTATTCATTCTCATTATTTTTTTCCCTGTTTTAACATTTTTTTTGTGAAGAAAATGACAGGGGTGGCTTTCAGTCTTACTTTTATTTAGTGATTTTTTTTTTTTTTTTTTTTTTTTTTTTTTTTTTTTTGTGGCATGAGGAGAGGATCTAGTTGCCTTCATGGTTGTGCCACTGCTGGCGTGGCCACCAGCCTGAGTTCTTCCATGTATCTGCAAGGCAGAGTTCCCCATGTGCCCGTAAACATGCCCTCTTTTGGGTGCTGACTGACAGTATATGGGGCCTTTACCGTTGGCTCCATTCTATGCTCTCTCTCTCCAACTTGACTGCCCTTGCCCTTGCCCTTAGTGTACCCCAGCTCAGCTGCTCCTGTTCTGCCTTAACACATAGTGAATCCCCACCCAACACCTCAGCAAACATACTTTCTATGATGATCAATAATGGTTGATCATCCTGGGAAAGGTTCAAAGTATAACCAAGGCTCAAAAGCAGGTCACACTCAGGTCGCATATGTTCTTACATTGGTTTAAAGTGTAAAAATTGAGGGCTGGGAATATAGTTCAGAGCATTTACCTAATGTGCATGAAGCCCTGGGTTCAGTCCCCAGCAGTGGAAGAAAACAATGTATACAAATGAAAACTCAAGTTGAAATGTAAAAGTTTTTAGTTTCTAAGCAGGTAAATCTTTGTACTGTCTTAATACTTTTTCCACTTTCATGTGATGTTCATTGTAAGAATTAACATTAAGACATTCTCAGAGGGGCCGGGGATTTAGTTCAGTGGTTCTGCCTCCTGCCTCGCAAGTGCAAGGACCCAAGTTTAATCCCTGGTACCAAAAAAAAGACGCGCTTGGGTTGTTTGCCTTTTCGATAAATTTAGGCTATCTCCTTAACATGTTTACCTGGCACTTGATGCTGAGTAGAATGGCAGAGCTGGAATGATTAAGTAATTATGGGCTATTAAACCATCAGGTTTTTGGAGATGAGATCATGGGTACCGGAGTTGGTGGGCAACACAGAAAACTTCTTCCCTCATTTTTTTATGAAATACGTGATTCCTTTTATCTTCTCCTGTGAGTCCTGTTTTGCATCCATCTCATGTGTTAACGGTAATGGCATTAGAGATGACAGGGATAAATGAGATCCAAAAATGCTTCTCCCCCCGGAGTTTTATCCCTGAGTTTCACAGTCTGTCTCTGGAGCTCAGATGAGCAAAGGTTGCCAACCGATTTGAGTTTCACCCCCACCCACCTGTGGTGGAGGTGCTAATAGGCGTGGGAGAGTCAGAAGGCCAAAGCCTGGGGTCCTCTGTTCAAATCTTTGGGGTTCTGGGGACTCTCCAGCTGTTTCAGAAGGAACCCCACTGGAGCCCCCAGCCTTGGAGACACACGGGCCCCTGCAAAGGGAGACAGTGATGGCTGAGCGTCAGTTGCTGTAGAGCCTCACACCTACAGCCTCTTCCTGAGCAGGCAGAGTGAGATGGGCTCAGAACGCTGACCTCAGAGCGTGCACCGTTGTATGGCAGTGGCCCTGGGACCTTGCACATCAACCTTGTCCACATCCAAGAGAAAAGCATCAACCACATGTAGGACAAAAAGGAAAAAGCAAGCTGTACTGTGGAGAAAGAAAGAGGTTCTGCAAGGGGAGGCCTCTTAGTCCTCAGTTCTCAGGCAAACAGACCCCCATTGAAGCTGCTGTCCTGCTAGCGCTTCAGCGGGGTGCTCATGAATGAACAAATAGTTTTGGGTCTCTGTGCTGAGCACTGGGGATTCATCTGAGAACAAAGCAGACCAAGCTATCTGCATTCCTGGAACACACAGATGATGAGAAGGAAACAGGAACAATAAGCATAATAAATAAACCAGTCACACAGAAGATTAGAAAGTGATCCGTGTTAGGGAGGAGGGAAAAAGTGTAGCTGTAGTAGTGTCAGGGAAGGCAGGGAAGGTTGGTTTCCACAGCTGCACCGTATTCTTACTGAGAAGAACTTGCAGGGAGTGAGAATTAGCCAGGGGACACCTGGGTTTTGAGGACAATCTTTCCTTACACCTGAGGGTGCTGAGCGCTCCACACGGTTGAAGGGCTGGAAGAAGAACACTGTGCTTGGAGCTGACTGAGGGGAGAGGCGCTCCGAGGAGTGGAGGCGAAGCCACATCACTCTGTCGGTGAAGCCATGGAGGCTTGACCACACAGGGCCTCGTGGCTACTGGGAAAAGTGGAGGCCTTTCTTTAAGTCCAAATGAAACCGGGAACTCTTATAGTATCTCCAACCAAGAAGTGACGTGATCTGATTTACTATTTAGAAGGATCATTTTGGCTGCTAAACTTTCCTTTCTTCTTCTGGGGTTCTATCAAGATACGGCTCAAGGAGTTGTTTTGTAATTGCTGAATTATCCTGTTTCTTTTGTGTGGAAACAACTCCTGGCCGGAAGCCTGTGGCACTCAGAATGACAGGGGAAAATGTCTTACCCAGGGGATTAAAAGGAGCGGCTCCGTCAGCTTCTGCCACACCACCAGATTCCAGCAGATGCATCACTGGTGCCACCCAATGCTGCCCTGATTCATGGATCAATTAAAAAATGGGCTCCCTGTGTCCTCACATTTTCACCATATTATATGGTCCATCAGGATTCTCCTAGCCCTACCCCAAAAAGAAAAAAAGGATGAATATTGGCCCTAGATTTCTTTTACTGTATCTGTAGACTAGAAAAAACCTCATCTACGTCTATATGAGTAGTTATGTGTATATAATAGTTTAATCATAAGTATTAAACATCACCTTATACTGAAACTGCTTCCTTTGATTAACCAGATTATCTCAGAAACCAAATTCAAAAACCTACTGAAATAACTAAGAAGCCACTCTAGTCTTGGGTAGCAAGGTTCATTGGCATCTTGGCTCAGTGAAACAGGTAGGGTGTTCAGAGCCCAGGTTTTATCTTGCAAACCCCCACACAACCTCACACAGCAGTGGTGGTCAGGCCTTTCCCTTCCCTTCTGTGAAATGAGGTCCGGCCTCAGTTCTCATCCTGGGGCACCCTTATCCCGAGGTTAGCCTCCACTGCAGACATGCTGAGGCCCTGTGAGTCCATATTTGTGGATGGTACAATGGCATTAACCAGCATTCAGGATGGCACAGACTGTGCATCAAGCACTTCCCTGCTTGCTTTTTATATGTCAACTTATTTAATGCTTGTCACACTCTTTCCACATGGGGTATATTATCACCTGCATCCAGGAAACCAAAGAACCCAGTGGCCAAGTAATTAGCCCATGGTTACACACCTGGTAGGGTTAGCTGGATTTTGAGCCTGGGCAGTCTGGCTCTGTCTTTCCCCAGTACCTCCTGAGTCCTCTCAGAGAAGTGGTGCCCAACACCGCCTCCCAGCCCTCTTGGGATACTGCCAAGGAGGCAAGACTTCACATGGGCATCCTGGATGCACACAGGAGGTTGAAGACCCCTGGCCAGCCTCAGAGGAGGGATGTACACGCTGGGAGGCAGGGTCCCTGTTTACACAAATGTTGAATGATGTTCCAGAATAGACTATTTGAAATCATCTTCTCCTAGAAAGTCTTTATGGCTCATACTTGAGCACACTTGTGCTGAGTTTTGCAGTTGTCCTACTTCTCCACAGCCCCTCAGGCCCTCTGGTACACTGCATTATTCCTCCTCCTCCGCCT